CAGGAATCAGAGAACTTCCCCATATTAAGCTTTAGGATAATTTCAAGGATACAAGTAATTATGAAGCACCTGGAAAATGTGTGGAAGCCCGAGTGTCCCCACCACTGCTAGGTCCTTCCTTGCCCCCTAAGAATGAGCTGTGGGCTGGATTTTACATGACCTCTCTAAGTGATGTTTGTTTAAGTGATAATGTGCAAGGACATCACTTACAAAAACAGGACGGCAGTGAGAAACAGCTCCATTTTATTCTCTGAAAATTACATAGCATGACAAATACATGACATTTTTCAAAGAACCATGCCCTGGAAACCCATAGTTTCCAGGTTTGTTTACCAGAAACATTCCAGAGGGAGCAGATGTGTTCTGCTAGATAAAGCCTACGATGCTAGAGAATACCATTAGTGAGTTCTTCAGGAAGTCTGTCATTAGCATATTTACAAAGGAGGTCCTGATGGAGTCAACTTTGTTCTTTTCTTTCAGGCTCAACCCTGGTAAAGGGAGAGAATTGAGTGTAGGGACTGCTGTTAACTCTTTCTTTCCCATCTCTTAAAATGAAAGCATTGAGAGGTATTACCACTGAATTTATGACTAATAAAGAGAGTGTGTGTTTCTTAATGGGAATTTTTTAGTTTTCTTCATTATCATGGATCCTAGTCTGTGCTCTAATCCATCTCTCCTAAATTCCTTTAACAACGTGGCTGTCAGAAGTAAAGGCAATAATTCAAGTGTGAATTAACCAGGTCCCTTAAATGTGGCAGTTGCAGGAGTTGTTGATGTCCTTTGGGATAGGCAAACTCACTCCTCCTCCTTATGCTGGGTCACCAGCAGATGCAGTAATCAAGTCTTCTAGTTTTTTTTTCTGTGCTTAATCCCATCACCTTTTCACCCAGTCCCCCACGCCCCCTTCGAGCTTCTTAATATTACCAATACCATTGTTGGTTTGATTTGCTTTTCTCTGATTACCAGTGAATTTGAACATCCCTTCTTATGCTATGTTGCCTATAAAGTCAACACAATCCCTATTGAAATTTGAGTGCACTTTTTGGCAGAAATTGACAAGCTGGTTTTATCATTTATATAACAAGGCAAAAACTAAACAAGACAATTTTGAAAATAGAACAAGTGGGAGGACTTTCACTTTCTGATTTCAAAACTTACTATGAAATGACAGTCATCAGGACACTCTTACTGTGCTAGGGATAGAACGCAACCCCCTAAATCTGCTCAAGCTCATTCAGTCAACAAGCTGAGACCACATGATCCAACAAGAACCATTCTTAGTGTAAGCCTTCCCCTAAAATGTCTTTCTCTTCCAAATTTTTAATGTCTCTAATCATTAAATCATTGGAGGCAGTGGAAATTCAAGTTTCTTAATGGAGGCCCTACCATGAGTAAGTGGCAGAAATAAAACTCACGCCATGTCAACCTGACTCCAAGGGTGGTATGTTTGAGCAGCTGGCACCTTGGCCTGAGGAATGGTGTAGAGACCACGACTGGGGCAATGACATTGAAGCGGCAGCCAGAGGCTGCGAATCAGGAATTCTTTCTTAGGAAGAAAGCAGAGTGAAGACCATAGGGATACCCCTCTCGCTAAAGAAATAACTTTCCAAGCGGAAGGCCGAGGTCTGCAGAGGAAGCGTGGGCCGATGAGAGCCCCAGAGGCTGGTGTGGGACGTGGACTTCCTGCAGACCTTTCTGGGTCCGGAGCAGATTGCCATATAATTTGAAGTCCTCTCAGTCTCATTGGCACAAGACAATGAAATGAGACTGTCTTATGTCTCACCAGGCAATCCTACTATATGTTCATTCATTCATTCATTCACTCATTCATCCATTCACCACATTTCTTGATCACCTACTAGTGTGCTAGGCTGGCACAGAAAAGCACCCGCCCCCAAGGAGTTGATGTTCTGGTGGATCCACAGGAATATGCTGTGCAGAGCTCGTAGCTAATTTAATTGATTTCCATTGATCGGACTCAACGAACTTCTAATTATGCTTGGGCTTTCTGGTTAGGACTGGCTGCACAGAAAGAACTTGTGAATTATTTGGGATTTGAATAGTTTGGTCTGATGTGTATGTATTTCTCCTGAAGTTGTTTCGTGTGAGAAATAGAATCACTCTTAGTGTGAGGACAGCAAAACTGGAATGCGATTTGGAGAAATTTATCAAGGAAATGGTTTCTCTTCCTGATCCCTGCCAGGTTGGGAGTTCTGGGAAATACAGGAGGTTTCTCTTCTATGTCCCTCTCTCTCCCTGCTGCTGCGAGTGTACGTTTGCGCGAGGGGTTGATAGCTTGACTCGGTTCAAGTAGCTGAAATAGAGCCTTAACTCTACTACTCACTGGCTTCGTGATCTTAGGTGAATCCATTCAAGCCTCAGTTTCATCATCTGTCGGACTGAGACAACTGCCCCTCATAAAAGGGCTGTTGAAAGATTAAATAAGATGATTCATGCGAATAATTTGTCACAGTGCTGTCTTTTAGTAAGGGCCCCATGGCAATGACCTTTGACATAAAATTTTTCGTAAACTGGATAACCAGTTGCAGTTGTTCCGGCAGCAGGGGTAACTGTGTGACCCACTCCCCTCCCGTGCTCCTGGAGCTATCACTTGCAAAGTGTGGGCACTGAGCACGCAAGGGTTCTTTCTTCTTTCCCTCCCCCCAAAATACCAATTTTTGGTATTTATTAGTGAAGTCAAACCCAGTTTGTGTGCAAAACTTCAAATTATTTGATAACAATTAAATAATTGTTCCACCTTTGCTGCCTTCCACTATTCATTCCATGGGTTTTATTCTCATAGTTAACAATAAACAGTTAAGTCTGACCACGGACCTAAAATCTTGGGTTTACATATAAAAGTCCTACTAAGGGTGCTCAGCTCTGCCCTGGGCCAGTGACTGACAAACCCAGAATGAAGGGGAAGGCTCAGGGTGTTCTAGGAATCATCTGTTGTTCTTCCATCTTCTCACCCAGAGCTCCGAGAGAAGGAGGGGAAGGATATCATCTCCTTTATGGCTCGTATTAGTCTGCTAGGGCTGCTCTAGCAAAACACCGTAGACGGCAGGCTTAAGCAACAGAAATGTACCTCTCAGAATTCTGGGGGCTGGAAGTTTAGATCAAGGTGTTGGCGGGTTTGGATTCTGCTGGGGCTTCCTCCCTCGGCTTGTAGATGTTCACCTTTTCTCTGTGTCCTCACACGGTCTTTCCTCTGTGCCTGTGCATCCCTGTATCTCTTCCCTTTCTTACAAGGAAACCAGCAATACTGGATTAGGGCCCGCCCATTTACCTCATTTAACTTTAATTGCTTCTTTAAAGGCCTTATCTCCAAGTAAGTTACATTGATGGTGAGGGCTTCCATAGATATACCTATTTTTGAGGGACACAAGTCAGTCCATAGCATGGCCCTTGGCTCATTTAGTGTGTTGTTAAAGGACGTGGACAACCCCCGTCTTCCACAGGAACAGGCCAGGCCGGAATGGTCAGCCTCTGTCTCTCTGAATAGATGAGTGGAGAGCAGGGAAGCCAGTGTGATGCTGCTTCTTGCTCAGATTTTTACCCACTCACTCAGCTGGGCACAGGCCGGAGCCTGGACAGGCCATGCCTGCCATTGGGTATCCCCCTTGGCCCCCAGGACCCTCCTATGCCGTTTATTCTGAGCCTCAGCTATTGACAGATGGCTTTTACTTTATTAAAATTAACATTTTTGCTGGACATTATCTTTGACTCCCAACTTTTAATCTATAGTTTTATAAGGGCCCTTTTCTCCATCATCTTAGATTATTTACAGGCCAACTTAATTTATACGTACCCATACAAGTGAAGACCCCAAAAAACAATTAACTTCTGGAGGACAGGCCTCTTGTAGTACAGGCTTCCCTCCGCTGGGTGAGTGTTCTAGGAACCCACCTGTATCAGTGAACCAGCTGGCGTTGTTGTGAGAGGCTGCATTCGGCTTCAGTGAAATTTTTTTGAAGACTTTCAGTGCATTTGCCCATTTCATGCTGGGTGCTTTAGGAGCACACCTGCCCACACCATGCTGAGTGTTCAGTAGTTTTTGACCAAAAATGGCCTGACCCCCGTGCCCCTCCCTCTATTCACCTGATCTCACCCTGAGCAACTTTTTTTGTGTTTGTTTCCCGGGATGAAAAACGTCCTCAAAGGGAATTGTTTTGCCGATGTGGAAGAGGTGAAACAAAAAATGGCAGAAGCACTAAAAGGCATCAAAATCGGTGAGTTCGAAAACGGTTTAGAGCAGTGGAAAAAAGTCCTGGTAGGTGTATTGCATCAAATGGAGAGTACTTTGAAGGTCACTGAAAATTAAACATGTAAGAAAATTTTTTATAAATAAATTCCAGGTTTTTTCAGGTCCCCTCTCATGTTCTCAAACTTTAGAATTTTTATGTGACAACTCGTGTTCATAAATAATGTTTTTAAAGCGGTTCTAAACTGGAAATCAGACCATTATAAGTAATGTGGATTGTAGAGAGGTCTCCTAACAAGTTAGGTTTCTCCTCAAATGCCCATCTTGTCACCACCCCGTCCTCTTTTCTGCCGCGCCGTATGAGCAGCATGATCATCATCATGTATGAGATTAACCGCCTACCTTCAAAAAGTAGGAAGGACTCAGCTTCAGAGATAATATCTTTAAAATAATAATGATAATGACACCGCATGAGAACTGTAAGTCCTTGTTACGGAGGCAGACTCAGCGCTGCAGCCACCAGTCCTGGTGTTTTCTCCCGGGCACGTACACTAAAACCGCCCCCCCGCCCCGCCCCCGCCAGCCCTGTCTCCTTTGTGAGGCTCCTTCGAGAAAAATAACATTGTGTAAACTGTAGGTACTTCCGCAGTATCTAGAGAATGACTCACGGCAGAGGAAACAGTTCTACGTCTCATTTAATAGACGGCAAAGATAGAGAGGAACTTGGTGTTTAAGGGAAAGACCCACATCCCAGCTCATCTGTTTCCTCCAGCTCCGTCAGTGGTGTTGGCAGTGTCTAGGGTGGCGGTGATGGCTGCGGGGAGTCAGTGGCTGAACCTCTCCTTTTGGCGTTGCTCTTGGTAGAAGTAGCAGGGAATGCAGTCTTTTCTGCGATGATGGGATTGGTGCGGGCGGAGCCCACAGCGCTGGCATGTGACAGGATGAGGGTGTTGAGGTGATAATTGGCAACAGGGCTTTTGATTTGGGGGGAGAAAGAGAAACTACGGTATTTCGTTTGTATCGCAGCCCTAGAATTCTTGGTAGTGTTTAGGTGTTTTGGGGAGTCTTCTTTAGGAGCATGGAGCAGTTCATTTTGCAGGTAGTTATTTATCAGTCCAACCATTTTTGGTCCAATGCAACATTTCTTCTTCTTGCATTTTTGTACCTCTTTTTCATCCACGGTGCAGTGGTCTTTGCATCTCCCCAAACCCATTAAACATCTTTTCCAGCCAAAGAGCTCTGCACAGAGGAAAGAGAAAACAACTGGGCTAAGGTTAGTAACTAGATAGGATCTTAAAGCTGCTGGAGGGAGAGGAATAGAGTGAGAAGGGGGTCTGTTAATGCGAAGTCTTGAGTACAGTGTTTGGGGATGTTGATGGGGGCCCACTGCAGGCCAAGAGAGTCTCTGTATACCTATGAAATCCACAATAAATCTCTCTAGTTTCCTTTCATTGACTTACTTAAAAAATCTAGGGCATGTAGAGGAAAGAAGAAAAGAAATAATTGAGAAGGAACTCAATAATTTGCCTCTGGAAAGGATTTTAGACCTTCAATTTAGCATCTTAGACACTGTAGGGAGGGCTTTACTGTGTCTTCCCATGACCCTAGGAAATACCAACAAGAGTAAAATCTGCCATAAAACTAATCCAAAAAGGAATTTCAAAAGAGAATCAATAGGACTACTGGTATCTTGCCAAACCCCATGGTTCTGACCTCACTCTCCCTGGCAACGGCCTGACCTGCTGTTCCTGGGGCATGGTGTTCTGTCCTCTTCAGCCTCCCTGGACACTCTGTCCTTCAGAGGAATTTTCAGTATCATAACCTTCACCTCATTCCTATCAGCATAGTCCCCACATTGTTATCTAGCACTCTACATTCTCTGCTCAGTTTAGTACCTCATATTCGTCTGCTAGATGATTTTTTCCATCCCAGTGTCTCACCTTTTTTCTTCTGTATCAACGAAGTTATTTTCTCTCATCTTAACAACTCAACTGATAACGTTCACATACATTTCAACATTGTTCCTCACCAAAGACAAACCAGTAAAATCCTTGTATTTCAAGCAGCTACATTGATTAACCCTGTTACACTCACATGTAATTTGAAGCTCAATGTGACTAAGAGGCTTTATCCAAGATGATAGTCATGCTTTCTTACGTCACTTTCCTTCTCTTAGGGTCCCACGGTAAAAACATTAGAAACATCTTTGACTCTTACATTCCCTTCCCCAACTCATTGCCAATTATTCCAAACATCTGGACGATTCTTGTATTTTGAAACACATCTTGATGCCTCACTTTCCTTTTTAAGAAACAATGGCCAATCCTCTGGTTCAGCCTTTTGCTGCAGTGTATTCCTAGATGCTTTTATGGGTAATTTGTGTGTTTCCAAGACCAAAAGTGCTGAGAGAAGAGATAAAACTGTAAAACTCTGAAAAAAGTTGAGATGGAGAACGTAGACCTGTTTACTTGATCCTAAAAGGAGATTTTTTTTTTTTTTTGAGCATTAGCATAAGGACTTCCTCCTTAATACTGACAGGAACCTTTGCCTCAAGAGGTGGCTTAAATTAGAAATAGAGCAAGAATGAGGGAGACGTGGGCCGAATCCCAGATGATAGCTCTGTAGAGGGGAGGAAGGCCGCTGTATATGTTGGATAGTTTCTGAGTACAGAAACTGGGAGCCTGATCTGGCTGTAGTGGCTCCCAGAGTGTCCCCAAGAGGCAGTCAGGGGCCTACTGGAAAGCGCGGGGGACGGCGCATGACCGATGCGATAGGTAGACTCTTCCTTTGGGTGACTCATCCTTCAGCCTCTCTTGGAGTTCCCCTTGTCATGGACAACCAAGTCCTTGCTTTCTCACACTGACCCCTCTAAAACCCAGGATTCCACATTACCTGTGTTCACCTGGCACTGTAGCATGAGGCTGACAAAGATAGGAAAAAGGAGCTTCATGGCTGGGTACCAGAGAAGAAGGCTTGGATCTGGGTTGATGGTCTTGAGCTGCAGACTTTATGGGCCTCTTCATGGCCTTAGGCCATGAGCAGTGAAGTGCACCAAAGCACACAGAAGTTGTGTTTTCTCTGATTCTGTTTGAGAACAACCTTTTCTGAACACTTCATGCAATGCATTTCCTGCTCTTGATCCTGGGGGAATTACAAGATGTAAGCTACAAAAGAAGTGCAGGCCCTTTGTAGCTCTCTTTCTTAAAATATTAGCTTCATTATTTGTCAGCTAGTTATGCCTAAGGCACTCAGTGTGTGAGAATCAGAAGAGCAGAAGTTGCTATAACCATGGAGACGCTGTCTTTTTTGTACTGATGTCTCCAATGTCCAGCAAGGCTACTAAATCAATGTAAGAACTCAGTACATGTTTGTTAAATGAATTTGTAGGAAGCATCGCTTAGCATAACTTTAACTTACAATATTTTTTGAGATATAATTGACATGTAGTATTATATTAGTTTCAAGTGTACAAAATAATGATGCAATATTTGTATACATTGTAAAATGATCACGTTGTCTGGTTAACATCCATCACCACACATAGTTATATTTGTTTTTTCTGTGATGAGAACTTTTAAGATTTACTCTCTTAGCAACTTTCAAAGAAGCTGTACAATATTATCAACCGTAGTCACCCTGCTGTATATTATATCTATAGAACTTATTTATGTTATAACTGGTTGTTTGTGCATTTTGACCGCCTTTACCCATTTTGTCCCCCACCTCTGGTAACCACCAATTTTTTTCTCTGTATCTATGAGTTGTTTTGTTTGGTTTGGTTTTTTTAGATTCCACGTGTAAGTGACATAGTATGGTATTGGTCTTTCTCTGACTCACCTCACTCAGCATAATGCTCGTAAGGTGCACCTGTGTTGTTGTAAATTACACAATTTCTTTCTTTTTTATGACCCAATAATATTTCATTATATATATGCATATATCACATTTTAAAAATCCATTTGTCCATATCAATGGACACTTAGGCTGCTCTGATGTTTGGCTATGGCAAATAATGATGCAGTGAACATGGGAGTACACATGTCTTTTTGAGATAGTGTTTTTGTTTCCTTCAGAAAAATACCCAGAAGTGGAGTTTCTGGATTATATGGTAGTTTCATTTGTAATTTTTGGAGAAGCCTCTATACTGTTTTGTAAGTGGCTGCACCAGTAGCACTCCCAGCAACAGTGCACAAGGGTTCCCTTTTCTCCACATCCTTGCCAACACTTGTTACTTCTTGTTTTTTTGATTACAGCCATTTTAACAGGTGTGAGGTAATATTTCATGGTGTTTTTGATTTGTATCCTCCTGACAATTAGTAATGTTGAGCACCTTTTCATATACCTTTTGGCCATCTGTGTGTCTTCTTTGAAAAAAATGTCTATTTAGATCTTCTGTCCATTTTAATCAAATTTTTCTTTTTGCTGTTGAGTAGTGTGAGTTCTTTATCTATTTTTAGATATTAACATCTTATTAGATACATGATTTGCAAGTATTTTCTCCCATTCAGTAGGTTGTTTTTTCATTTTGTTGATGATTTCCTTTGCTGTGTAGAAGCTTTTTAGTTTGAGCTAGTCTCACTTGTTTATTTTTGTTGCCTTTGCTTTTGGCGTCAAATACAAAAAATTATTCCCGAGGCAGATGACAAGATACTTACCACCTGTTTTCTTCTAGGAGTTCTATGGTTTCAGGTCTTATGTTCAAGTTTTTAATTCATTTTGAGTTAATTTTTTTTGTACAGTGTAAGATAGTGGTCCAGTTTCACTCGTTAGCATGTGGCTGTCAAGTTTTTTTTTTAACTCCGTTTATTGAAGAGACTGCTTCTTCCCCATTGTGTATTCTTGGCTCGTTTGTCTTAAATTAATTGACCATATATGCATGGGTTTATTCCTGATCTCTCTGTTCTGTGTTATCAATCTGTGTGTCTGCTTTTATGTGTAAGCCACGTTGCTTTGTTTACTACAGCGTTGTAACAGAGGTTAACCTCAGGAGTCACGAGGCCTCTGGTTTTGTACTTTCCCAGAATTTCTTTGGCTATTTGGGGTCTTTCTTTTGTGGTTCCATACAAGTTTTAGGAATTTTTTCTCTGTTTCTGTGAAAAAATATGGAATTTTGGTGATGATTGCATTAAATCTGTAGATTGCAAAGATATGAACTTTTTAACAATACTAATTCTTCCAATCCATAATCATGGAATAGCTTTCCATTTATTTGCATGTTCTTCAATTTCTTTTATCAATGTCTTATAGTTTTCAGCAGAGGTCATCTCTTTGGTTTATTCCTGGGTATTGTATTTTTTTGTGCAATTAAAATTTTTTTTTCTTAATTTCTCTTCCCAACAGTTCATTATTAGTGTATTGAAATGCAAATTATTTTTGTATATAGATTTTGTATTCTGTAACTTTATTAAATTTGTTTGTAAGTTCTATCAATTTTTTGGTGGAGTCTTTAGGGTCTTCTACATACAGTATCATGTCATCTACAAATAGAGACTGTTTTATGTCTTCCTTTCTGATATGGATGCCTTTTATTTCTTTTCCTTGTTGCTCTGGCTAGGACTTCCAATATCATTTTGAAAAAAGTGGCATATATTATGTCATTTGATGGTGTCTCAGAAGTGCTATAGGCTTTCTTCATTTTTTTTCTTAATTCTTTGAAAAATTTTTGTTCCTTTGACTGGGTAATCCAAATCCCTCTGTCTGAGTTTCTTAATTCTTTCTTCTGCTTGACCAAGTTTTCTGTTAAAGCTGTCTACTGAATTTTTCAGTTTAGTCATTTTTTAAAGAATCAGGACTTTATTTTTTAAATGCAGTTTTAAGTTCACAGCACAATTATGAGGGAAGATACAGAGATTTGCCATATTTTTTCAGCCCCTGCACATGAATAGTTTTCACCATTATTGACCTGCTCCCACAGAGTCGTTCACTTGCTATAACTGAAGAACCTGCATTGGCATATTATAATCACCCAAAGTTGAAAGTTTATGTCACGGTTCATTTTTCATGTTGTGCCTTCTATGGGTTTGGACAAATGTGTTATGACACGAATCCATTATTATGGGATCATAGAAATATAACCTGTGTTCTACCTGGTCATCCATCCCTCCACTCCACTGCCTGACAACAATAACCTTTTTATTGTCTCCATAACTTTTCCTTTTAATGAACGTCACAGAATTGTAATCCTACAGTTTGTATCTTCTTGAGATCGACTTCTTCCACTTAGTAATACTTTTTTACATTTTCTTCACGTCTCTTAATGGCTTGATAGCTCATTTCTTTTTAGCACTGAATAATACCCCATTGTCTGGAGGTACCGCAGTTAAGTTTATCCATCTATCTACTGAAGGAAATCTTGGCGGTTTACACATTTTGGCAATTACGAATAAAGTCGCTTTAAACTTCTATATGCAGGTTTTTGTATGGGCATACATTTTCAGTTCCTTTAGGTAAATACCGAGGAGTGCAATTGTTGAATCATATGATCAGAGTATGTTTAGTTTTGTGAGAAACCGCCAAGCCATCTTCCAAATTGGCTGTTCCATTTAGCGTCCCCACCAGCAGTACTGGTGTTGTGTCAGGGTTTGAGTTTGGACCATTATAGTAGGTGTGTGATGGTATCTTATTGCTTTAAGTTGCATTTTCCTGATGATATATGCAGTTTAGCATCTTCTTACAGATTCATTTGCTATGTGTATATCTTCTTTGGCAAGGTGTTTATTAATGGACTTGATCATTTTTACTCAGGTTATTTTTTATTGTTGATTTTTAAGAGTTCTTTGGTATATTTTGGATAACAGTAATTTAGCAGCTGTCTTTTGAAAGGATCTTCCCCCAGCAGGTGGCTTGTCTTCTTATTTTCTTGACATTGTCTTTTGCAGAGAAAATTTTACTTTTCATGGAGCCCACCTTACCAATTATTTCTTTCATGGGTCATACCTTGGTCAGTCACGAATTTCTTAAGCTCTAGGATTTTTGGCATTTTAAAAATGATTTGTATTTCTTTTTTGAACTTATCATTTTCTTCATGTATTGTTACCCTAATTTTGTTTAGTTGTTTATCTGTGTTGCCTTATAGTTTACTGAACTTCTTTAAGAGGCTTATTCTGAAATCTTTGTCAGTCAGTTCATAGGTCTACATTTTTTTTTTTAGGATCAATTGTTGGAACTTTATTAGTGTCTTTTGGTGGTGTTATGTGTTCCCCTGGTTTTTTATGATCCTTGTCTCTTTGCACTGGTGTCTCTACATTTGAGGAAGGAGTCACCTCTTCTTATCTCTATAGGTTCACTTTGGCATGGCAAGACCTTCATAGGTCAGCCTAGCCTGGCATCCTAGAGTGGCTAGCTCGTATTGTTCATGGGCAGATGTGGCTTGCTGAGAGGCCTCTGGTTGGGTGGGGCTGCAGCCTGTGCTCTGACCTTGGGTAACGCTTCTGGCTGGGCTCCTCAGTAAGGTCGGGATGTTGGTTGGGCTCCATTGTCAGCACAGCTGCTGAGTGGGCTCTGTGAGCAAGTGGGGCTGTTGGCTGGGCTCTGCAGTTGGCCAGGGTTACTGGTTGGGCTCCATGGTCAGGCAGAGACAGTTGCTGGACTCACTGGTTGGGTGTAAATACAGCCTGGGCATCTTGGCAGGGCACTGCTGCTGGTTGGACTCCAGTTGGGCAGGGCTGCTGGCTAGACTCTGCAATCAGCTCTGGTTGGGTGAGGTTGCAGTTTGCGCCCTTGGCCAGGTGGTGCTTCTGGCTAGATTTTATGTTTAGGTAAGGCTGTAGGCTGTGCTCCATAGTTTGGTGGGAACACTAGCTGGGCTCTGCAATTGGCCAGAGCTGGGCTCTGTGTTTAGTTGGGGCTGCTGGCTTTGCTCCCGAGTGGAGTTGTGGGCTGCGCTCTGTGATTGGACAGGGTCGCTGACTGTGCTTCACGATCAGGCAGGGCCACAGTTTGTGCTCTACA